AGTCACATGACCAACCCTGACACTGGGAGAGAAGTAGACTCCGCCTATGGCAAGGGACTGGAAGTCACAAAATAAGGAGTGTAGATATATGATTTCCTTCTGAGGGGAAAGCATAGAGTTGGAAACAATAATCAGATCTACCACATGGTGTCAGCACAATGGGAATGTCATTAGTATGAATATATAACATTGCAAAGAGAACACTTTTGAAGCGGTAATAAGTATTAAGTATATAAATTATATTATGGGGATACAATTAAGTCAGCTATGTACCTTATAGGTCCCTCTCACGTATTTAAGTGTTCTAAAAATGTATACAATCTCTACAGTATGGATGTCATTACTTTCTGAATTTATTTCCTTTTAATAGTTTTACATTTAAGAATTTTTGCAAAATAGGGGCACCTGGGTGGCTCAGTGGGTTGGACTTCTGCCTTCGCTCAGGTCATGATCTCAGGGTCCTGGGATTGAGCCCCGCATCAGGCTCTCTGCTCAGCAGGGAGCCTGCTTCCCCCTCTTTCTGCCTGCTGCTCTGTCTACTTGTGATCTCTCTCTCTATCAAATAGATAAAATCTTAAAAAAAATTCTTTTTACAAAATAGTGTATTGACAGATATTGCAAAATAATTATTGATTGGAAATTACATTTCTGTAAACCTGGCCAATATAATGCTCTTTATATGCAAAATTCAATAGAAGCTTAGTGTTATACTTCGGAAAAAGCAAATTAGTATTCTAAGAATAAACTAGTCTTAGGAAATGATTATCTTTGCAAGGACTATAAAATGTACCAAGTTGCTGGGGTGTCTGGGTGGTTCAGTTGGTTAAACATCTGACTCTCGGTTTCAGCTCAGGTCATGATCTCGAGGTCATGAGATCAAGCCCCACGAAGGCTCTGTGCTGAGCATGAAACCTGCTTAGGATTCTCTCTCTCCATCTCCTTCCCTCCCCTACCCCCACTCGTGCCCATGCTCGCTCTCTCTCTGTCTCTCTCTATAAATAAATAAATAAATAAATAAATAAATAAATGCATTAAGTTCCTCAGTTTAGAAAATATTAAATAAATAACTTAAACACTAAGAAGTAAAATAAAGCTGTAAAGGCTAAAGAGACATGCTTTTTACCTCTTTTTTTTTTTTTTCAAAGTGGAGACATCAAAACCTAAGCTAAGATTAATAGTCAGATGTTTAACTGACCGAGCCAACCAGGTACCCCACATTTTTTTTTACTTCTTAATCACCCTATTAAAATCTTAAAATCAGTAATTTCATATCAAGTATTAATATCAGCCTTTATATGTCCCAGGGTTTTAAATACATTTGAAGAAGTGACATTCTAGAATCTAGAGTGGATTCTAGAATGCTCACCAAAAACTGGTCTACTGAGCCATACACCTTGCCTTCTATCAACAAACATGAGAGGAAATGGGAAGGGGAGTTCCTGGAATGACCTGAAATCACTCATCTTCGTTGTGTACCTCAGTTCTCGTCTGCTATAGGATTTTGTTTCTCCTTTTCAATCACAGGAAATACTCAAGTGGGTCAGAATTTAAGGCAGCCCATAAGGTGTGGGATAGTATGCTACTGAGAGCTACAATTAGACCTTCACTGAAGAGAGTCAGGAGTCAAGGAGGGCGGGGATGGTGTGATGACTCTATTTTTGTCCTGTTGGTAGCCTGAGAATTGAGCACTATGTACTTCTTCTGAGGCTCTATCAAGTCACTCACTGTGGGATCAGAAGCAGCCATGTGTATGAAGAAATAGACAATCTCAATATCCAAGGAAAATCTCCCTATCATGATAGCTGGGGTTTCTCTTAGGTTCACCGTGATCCCCTTAATTCAGTCAAATATCTTCATAACATCCTCTTATAACTGTGCTGTTACCTTCTCATTCTTGCTTCTGCTTCTCATCCCTAACATTGTCAAAACCTTTAATCACCTGGATTTTATGCATTTACCCTCATTTTAACGTCATCATGACTTTATAGTATAGAATCATATCAAACTGAATTATATCCCTGGATCTAACAGATATTAGGATAAACAAGTCTCTGGCATTTTAAGGTTTAGTCACAGCTTATACACAGTCACATTTCATGCACCTTAAAAGTCTGATCTTTCACCACCAAATCTTGATATTTCTCAGTCCCTTGGTCTTAACTTTGAAAATGAAAAAAAAAGAAAAAAAAGTATTTGACATACGCAATGCTGCTTTTCTTTGGTGACAATGTCTTTTGAAAAAGGTTTCTGTGATGTTCAAAGGAGAGTGGCCTGCTGTTTGCTAATATTACACACAGAGGTAATGGATACAAACTACTGCATGAGGGATTTAGTCCTTCCTTATAAGAACTAAAAGTCCTTATAGTCATGGATGCAGAACTGCATAACCCTCTACCTCAAATTGTATACTCTAACTTTCTTTACAGTTGTTTAAAATGAAACGACAAATTAATTTTTCTTGACTGTGCCTGAGGACACAGGGATGGACTATTTGACCTCTCGTGGTCATTTTCTACCTCTACCACTCCATGATTTCAGTTCTGCAATGTGTAAAGACAAACTCTTCATTAGTCGGGTAGAAAGCCATAGAGCTTGAGCCAGATCTCACCAGGAGAACATATGATCTTCGCAGGGATTCAAGGTTGGAATGAGGCATATTCTCAAGGAAAATAATCACAGTGAATACACTGAATTTTCTTTGCTTTTGTATTTTTTTATAACACAGTCATATTCTCTCTGCAAATCTCCCCTGCTCTGTTTTATTTTGAGCAAGGAATAGAATTGAGTTTTTCTCCTTGAAAAAAAATCAAACACATTTCTAACAAAAAATTAAGAATATAATGAATACAAATTATATAATTCTGACAGTTCCCATGACCCCCTGCCTCAAAATGTATCTTTTTAAAAATTTATTTTAGTAAAAAGTTGACTTCATCTGTACAAAAGAACTTTCCCTTTTATCATGTATACAGCAGTCAGAAGGTTATAGAGTTACATTTACATACAAGAACTGGTTAAAAATATTTTTAAAATAAGCGACTCAGTATTTGAAGTGTATGAAAATGCTGGCAGGCATTGATAGAGATATAGAAATACTCTGTCAACTGTCTATCTTACTAAAACCCAAGTATACTATAAAATAGTATATTACCAATGTCCCCAAAATACAGAAAGAATCTAAGAGATATACAATTTTACATAAAATGTCTTTAAGTTTTACATGTGGATGCTTGCATTTGCAACTTTCCAATTCCCACTCACACAACACTCATCTTAGAACTTCCAAATAATGACAGGCTTCTTTTATTATATCTGACATTTCAAAATCTCATCATAGGGTAAGCATAGGAAAACTTCATTGTCTGCTATTATTTTTACATCGAAAATAAGCAGGTATCAGTGGATTACATTTTCTCATCAATACGACTTTAACCCCTTGAGGGTTTTTTTTAATGCTTTCCAGAGGTAAATAGGAACTGTTACTCCTCACTTTAAGAAAAAAAAGACCTCACCTTAAAAAAAAGCAAGACCTCACCTTAAAAAAAAAAAAGAAAAAGTAGACGCAATTTTTGATTTTTTTTTTTTTTTTACCTTTTAACTTAACTTTTCTAAATACGTAGAAACAGAGAACATAGAACAAGGGAAAATAATGTGTTACAGTGTCTGTAACATAATACAGAAGCAGAGATCCAAAATTAAGAATGCAGAATGAGGGGTGCCTGGGTGGCTCAGTGGGTTAAGCCTCTGCCTTTGGCTCAGGCTATGATCTCAGGGTCCTGGGATTGAGCCCTGCATCAGGCTCTCTGCTTGGCAGGGAGCCTTCTTCCCCCTCTTTTTCTGCCTGCCTGTCTGCCTACTTGTGATCTCTCTATGTAAAAGAAATAAAATCTTAAGAGGAAATTCATCTATATACTTTTCAACTGTTCTGCATTTAATCTTTTTTTAGTATTCCTTAACATTTTATTGAATGTTAATTTTTCAGAGAAGGACGAGACTAGAGACCAGTTACGATTAAAAGAATCAATCAAAGAGAGGTTAACATTCAAAGGAATGAGGCTTTTTTTTTTTTTTTTTATTCTATTTCAGTGGGTTAGGGCATAATAGAAAGTAAAATTTGATCATATTGGAATTAGTTTCAAGGCAATAGAAATTGTCACATGGCAGACAGAGTAATAAAATACTTGTTACTGCTCCATTATCTAGCATAGTATTTTCACTTCTTAAAGTGCTGTGCCTCCCATGTTCATGGCATGAGCAGACAGCCACGCAGTGACAGAAGTTAGCTGGGGGAGGCCACAAAATACAGATGAACTAATGTCGGCTGACTGGTAGGTACATTGTGCTAAGCCCTTTTGAATGCATTAGGTCATTCTGTGTTCTATATAGTTCTACAGAGTCAGCATTATTACTTTATTTTATACATAAAGAAACCAAATCTCAGCCTAGTTAAGTAACTGGACTAAATTACTTGCAAGTTGGAGGACTGAGATTCGAATACCTGAAAACAAAAACCATGGTCTTGCTTGTAATCAAGGGGAGGTACTGGAAGAAAGAGAAATATGTAGGTATGTGACAGTGGGGGGAACATTGCCTTTTGAAGAAAAGTAGAAAAAGGTAAGGTTGATGTTTGAGTTCCACTATAGTATGGTCACTTATAAACACTACTTCTAAAACTTTGTCCTTATTTGTGTAAGAAGTCAAAATATGTTCTTAAGTATTTATTATAGAAGTAAGAAGCCTGAAAAAGGAAAAAGTGCATTGTGGATTAAAATGAGAAAAAACAGGTGTCTTATTCATTCTTCACTCTAGGAATCTCATTAGCTATCAGACAGAATTTGATGACTGCCAACAAATAAACAACATTTTCCCCCAATAACAGGCTGTTAAACTGCCCAAAGCCACCAAATACAGATTAGTCTGAAATGCACTGATTGTTCCTGCTGGAGGTGGTTAAAAAATCAGCTATAGATACAAGAATTCTTTTTCTCTCTTTCCTTCAGGCTGCTAAAGGATGCACAGAATGAAACTTATTTTAAAAGCTGGTATCAGAAGCTGTTGGCTGCTCTCCAATTCTGTTCAGGAAAAGCCTTGAGTGATGAGCTTTCCAAGGAGAAGAAACTTATTAAAATTCTGGGAGACATTGGGGAAAAAGTCAAGTCTGCCAGTGACCCTCAAAGACAGGTTTGTTGAGAAATTAATCTTCATGTTGTGTTTCCTTTAATCTTTAGTTCAATTAAATTTTAATTTCATAGCTTAGAAAGCAAATTCGTTGTCTATAATTAGTTATAAGACCCCCAGCTCAATGAGTTTAATCAAGATTTTTTTCAGTTTACAATCTGAAAGTTAATGATAATGTCTACCACGAGGACATGATTTTTAAGATTTTTTTATTTATTTGCAAGAGAGAGAGCAAAAGCAAATGGTGGGAGGAGCAGAAGGGGAGGGTGAGGCTGACAATCTCCAGTGTGCTCTCCACCGAGTGCAGAGCCCAGCACGGGGCTCGATCTCATGACCGTGAAATCATAACTTCAGCCAAAACCGAGACTTGGATGCCTAACTGACTGAGCCGCCCAGATACCCCGATGTAGTTTTTTTGACCTAAGTAGCCATATAGCATATGGAAAGTACCTGACAAGAAGAAATCAACTTAAAGGCAGCTTGTCTAAAAAAAAAAAAAAAAAGGCCAAATGAAGTAATTTCCTCAAAAGGGCAGCACAACTCCAGGGGCGAGGGGGGGCTGGGTGGCTCAGGGGTTGGGCCTCTGCCTTTGGCTCAGGTCATGATCTCAGGGTCCTGAAATCGAGCCCCGCATCGGGCTCTCTGCTCAGCAGGGAGCCTGCTTCCCCCGCTCCCCTGCCTGCCTGCTTGTGATCTCCCTCTGTCAAATAAATAAATGAAATCTTAAGAAAAAAAAAATGTCCAAAGGGGACTTTTTAGGGGACCCTTGTCCAAGGTACAAAATCAAGGTACAGATTTTTCTAATACTGTAATAATCAAAATAAAGACTTATGGGGCAAAACAAAATTAATTAAATCAATAGTGATGTGGATAGTAAAACTTTTATACTAAGATCCATGAATAATAGTCAAAATATTGTGCCTTTTTCATCCCTGATTATAATAATGGACCTGGCTATTCTTTTCCTTGATCTGATTGAAGAATATTTGTTCTTTTTAATTATCTGCATCACTAGTTTCCCTCACTGATAAAGACCATTAAGTAGGTTCTCTTATGTTCAACATTCTAGATTCAGGAAGAGAGTGGGCAACCATTCATTGTATTAATAACATCATTCAGTAACAAGTATTTACAGACTGGGAGTTAAGGATGGAAAGATGACTAAAACATGAAGTTTGTCCTCAAAGGGAGCACATAGTTTCTCTCCACCCACTGTCTAAAATCAAAAAGAGTTTTCAGCAAAATAATATAAAAATGCTGACAGGTAAAGTGTCCCAGAATTCTTTCCCAGCCCAGTATTTTTCTTGCTGGAAGTCACTCATTTGATAGAAGTGCCAGAGCTTTGGCCCTTCACCTATACAGGAATACATACGAAATAAAAAGCATAAACATGGAATTTATTCTCAAATGGGAAACATAGGAAGTCTAGATTGACAGAAAAAACTTAAGATATATAACATGATGAGCAATGAAAAAGAAACCAAACTTCTATAATTTCTTCATATTACTGCAGATTATTTTCTAATGATAGAAAAAAATTGAAAGTACATAAATAAACTGGTTTAAAATTTATGAAATTTATATAAAATTTAGTTTAGTCTTTATTTCTTAAATTTCAAAATTCCTCACATATTTGAGATGCATCTACAGTTAAGTAAGTCTGATGCCTTTTTTGACCATTTGCATTAAGTTCCAAAGTGCTATTGATATTCTTTCAAATAAATATATTTTGCTCACCTACACTGTTTTTGTGATAACACTTCTTCACATAAAAATAAGAAAATAAAAATAGAGATGAAAGAAGCATTTACAATTTTGCATAATTCAAGTTAGTTAGCTATTTTTTCTATTTTGTTTTAAAATGTACTAATTAGTGTTGTATGGAAGTGTTGAATCACTATATTGTACACCTGAAACTAATATTATGCTGTATGTTAATTCACTGGGATTTAAATAAAAACTTTAAAAAAATACCTTTTTAATAGATACTTCATAATTCTGCAAACCTACTTATAAATTTATGTCTGCTTATTCTGATAAAGGCTAGAGTTTTTAATATATTAAAATTGTCTCCCTAATTATTTTTCCTCAGATTCCTAGAAGTTATTTCTTTATATATTGTTTTTCTTGGCTGTTTACTATTAAAGCATGTCATCTCATAAAAAAATAAAATAAAATAAATAAAAAGTACTAATTAAACTAACTGTGTGAAAGAAGATACTTAAAGGCAGTAGAGATTCCCCTCCATGGTATTCCTTAAGGGAATCCATGTATAGATAAAACAAAGGAGGACAGACAGAAAGAGTGCCATAGTGGAATTTGCCTCATTTTTCCACCTTGCTCTTCTGGATTCTGAGAGCAGTAGTTTCTGTTATTTGCCAAAGACCCAGGAATAAGAAACTCCCAGGAGTTAATTAAACATTATAAATCTGAGGGCATTTGAGTGGCTCAGTTGGCTGGGCAACTGCCTTTGGCTCAGGTCATGATCCTGGAGTCCAGGGATCAAGTCCCGCATCAGGATCCCTGCTGGGCAGGGAGTCTGCTTTCCCTCTGACCTTTGCCTTCTCGTGCTCTCTCTCTCTCTCTCTCTCATTCTGTCCCTCTCAATAAATAAATAAAACTTAGATAAAAACAACAACAAAAAAACAAACAAAAAAACCCCAGAACATTATTAATCTGATACTTTCATTTTTAGAAATGGACTCAGAGAGTTTCTGAAAGTGGACTAAAAGAAGCTTTTATATTTTGAATTATTGTTTTTCCCCTTTTTTGGTTAGGGAATATGCAGTTTTAAAGGTGTTATTTGTGTTTTTAGATCTTCCACAGGTACAGAGAACTATGGAAGGGAATGAGGCAAGTATCAGGAATACACTTATTAACATTTAATAAATCATTTGTTCAAATATATTACTATTTCTGACAGTTATCATTTTTTGCCATTATTGCTCTTAATACATGTGAATTTTTTTTTTCTAAAATGTACTATCACTATTAAGTATAAATCTTGAGGGTTACAAACTAAGATTCCAGGAAATTATCAGAATTGGATCATGTTAACAATTACTTAAAGCAGGTTCTATAAGATGGTGGGCCACAGGTCAAAGCCAACCCATCATGTTTTGTTTGAACAGAATAGTTCTTTGTTTCGGTTTTGTTTTTAATTGAATTTAAAATCCTGTAGAAAAGGCATGAACTCTTTAGCTCCCCATCCTCCCTCCCGCTCCCTATTGTCTTTAGCCCTCTGCTTCCTTGTATGTGGCCATCTCATCTACCTGACCCCAGAGCATCCAAGTGTGCAACCCCTGAATTAAAGAGTTTATTTAATCAATAGAAGAAAATTATAACTTAAAGTCAAATTCTTAACAGTTTCTAAGATGCTTTTTCAACTGATTTTTTCACAGGAGGTACTAAAGAAAGAGATTGGCAGACTAGAAGAATTCTTTCAGTGTATAAAGACCTGTCACCTTCCTCTGAACCCTGCCCTGTGTGTAAAGGGTGTTGATTGTGATGTAAGTCAGTTTATTCAGTAGATAAGTTGAGTATTTTTGTTTTGTATTGTTTAGCTCACCCTGTGTTTTTGAAATGGCAAAAAACAACTTGTAAATTGTCATTGCAAAAATTTTAAGAAAAAGTAATTGAATCCCATCCAAGCTAAGTGTTGCATTTGATGCACTGTGTAAGGTTGAGATCGCACTGGCCTCATCACATGATTTGTTGGTCTAGAAATATACTATCAGTTCAGTAAAAATAAATTAAAAAAAATAAAGATACTGCTCACTAAATTGATTTCTCAATTTATTCAAAATGGTTGATTTGCTGACCTTATGCAGGCTGGCTTTAATTTCATGCTTATTTAGATTATGTGCATAGCCATGCCTAGTACACTAGGATATTATTAGCTACAACACGTCAGTTTTTATTTAATTTAAAATTCATTGACTCACGTGTCAGTGTACCATATAATATATTTTGTGACTTAACTTATGCCTGGAGTGACCTTCCTGGTATCAGAAACAATTTCTTTCTCTTGCTCAGGCTCTGTCAGTCACACTTCTCCAACTTAGAATCATTCTTTCTCCTTTTATCTCCATTAACTTTATTAGCCTCCTTCTCAAGGGCCCAAGAGTAGAAAGCACTAATAGAGGCAGGATTGGTAAGTGAGACTTAAGAGGTGAAGAGGTTAAACTATCACACATGTATAATAAATGTTACTTGACTGACATCATAATACAATCAAGAAAACAAATCCAGCAATTAGGAGAAAAACTCGACCATTATTAATATGAATATAAAAAGTTTTGCTAAAAAGTTGGCATTGTTACCTTTATAACTTTGCTGCCTCAGAAACTTTCCTAATATGCTATGCAAGCATATTTTTGAAAAATAACAAAATAAGACATCAAATTCCACAGACTGTGATATGTCTATCTGGGCTAAAACCCAAATTCATTGCTAATCTTTAAAAATGTGTAACTTTTTAATCATTAGCAATATCCACTGATTAATGTTGCAAATACAGGGAAATGCAGCATTTCAAAGACGTAGTATCTTAAAGTACAAAGAACAGTATGATTCATTGAGTCTAGATTGTGATTTTTTTTGTTTCTGTTTTCTTGGTTTACTGTTGTTTAAGGAGTAGAACAATTTTCTGTTAAAATTCCATATGAGTCTTGGTTTTGGTAGGCCTTGGAGGTATGGGTTATCAGCTCTAATGGGTGGTTGCTGTGCATTCCTGTGTGAAATGGTCAGGCTGAGGATCACCACCCCTAGCACGGCAGCTGAGCCACACTCCTTTCCTATATCTACCTGCAGACAGTAGTACTTTCCCTGAGTCTGGAAAGTATGCCAAGTAAAGCTCCCTCTTTTCTCCATTTGCTGTGGCCAGCTGTGCCTGGCACAATGCTGGGCACCTGTGTGTAGAGCAATAAACAGGGCAGATGTGGCCAGGTGACACTCCCTCTTGGGGAACATTTTAGTCCACTTTAGTCCATCCTACAGTCCTGCAGAACAAGGAAGTCTAAAGGAACATACATCACATCTGAAGATGTGGCGAGTGTGGCAAATTTTCAGTCAGAGCCTGCATCAGAGGATCCATTCTGGAAAGAGCCTCTAAGAGTGTAATGAATATGATAAGACATTTAGAGGCACTCCTCAGTCAATGGTTCATTTGAGAATCTACTAAGCAGGGAAGCCCTATGAATGCAGCAAGCATGGGAAGACTCGTCATCACTACTCCCATCTCATTCCATATCAGAGATTCCATAATTAGGAAAAAAAAAAACCTTATAAATGTGCTTTATGCATAAAAACCTTCACTCAGATTTCCCTACTCATTGACCCTCAAATAACTCATCCTCAGGAGAAGACATAAATTTCATGAGTATAGGAGGCTTTCATTCAGAATAAAATCCTTTTCTAAAATCAAGTATTTCACATTAGTGAGAAACATTACAGGCGACATGAGTGTGGGCAAGCTCTCTGTTCCAACAGAAACCATTTTGACCACCAGAGAATCCATACTGGGAAGAAACCCTGAGAGTATAATGAACATAGTAAGGTGTTCAGTGAGGGTAGATGTCGTATTTGACATCAGAGCCTCCATAACTGGGCAACAAGCACAATAAATGTAGGCAGCAAGGAAAGGCTTCAATCAGAACTCTCAACTTGTTGGCTGTGAGCAAATTCAGACCAGAGAAAAACATTTGGAACTCAGTGTGGCAAATATTCAGTCAGAGTAAATGTCTTGTTTTATGTCACCCGACTTCACACAAGCATAAAACCCCATAAGTATGGAAAATATGCAGTCAGGACTCACATTTCATTATATAACAGAGAATTCACACTAGTGAAAAATCCTATGAATGTGATAAGTATGGGAAGGTCTTTGGTGATAGCATCAACTTTACAATATTAGAGAACCCATCTGGGGAGAAACTTCATAAATGCAATGATTGTGGGAAAGCCATTAGTGATAGTTCACAGTTTATCAGGCATCAGAGAGTTCATACTAGAGAGAAGACTTATGAATATATGACTATGGGAAAGCCTATAGTCAATATTCTATTTTAATCACCATCTGCAAACTACACTGGGGAGATGCACTCAAGCCAATCTACTTTTTAACACATGGCTCTCTAAGACAGAGGACAAAGATCTTAACTTTGAGTTAAGCTCTCTTTCAAAGAATTTTTACCCTTGTCTCTCCTTGGAACCACTAATTACAATGAACCATTTCTTATCTCCCTTTCCATCACTAGGGAATGGACCATTTGGGAAAATGGTTGTAACATAATGTAATCCTTCCCCACTCCTGAAAAAGTAAGGACCACACACTTCATTTACTAATAGGTTTCTTTCCTTTTTTAAAACTATTTTAAATCTATGTCATTAGTGTGTGCTTCTCAAGAACAAGGTCACATCTTTCTTTCTCTATTCCAGCTCTTCCTGTATTCTTTTCTCTATTCTAGTTTTTTTATCTCACCATTTACATAAAATTATCTTCCAAGACTCCAACTCATTCTTTCCCATCTCCTGGTTGTGGCCCTTGCAGTCCACTTTTAACATCTAATCTAAGTTCTCATTGTTTGCTTTTCCCTACCTAGAAAGCCTTTTTAAAAACATTTTTGCTAATCCAAGTTCCACAATCTTCAAATCCATCTCATCTCTGAAAGACTTCTCTTCTTTAAGTGCTTCTTCATCCAACTGCGATAAATGGCCTTGTAAATTATTTTCAGCTTAATGCATGTGTGTTCATACCAACTTTCTGTAGGCTCTTAGGGAGTAGATATAGTACCTCTGATATCACATAGATAATGGTTTGTCCATATTAGTTATCAAATATAAAATATTTTTTGCATGAGTCTCAGAAAGTATACTGCATGTGAAAACCAAAATATAAAACAATGAAGGTAAAATAGCGCCAAGTGATGTAATTAAGAAGAAGGGCTAAGCCTTGTCTTCGTCCTGCCTTTGCCCTTTTTCTCTTCCCTGGACTTAGGATGCCTCAGAGAGACCCCCAAGAATTGAATGAGCACAGTTTGAAAACCACTGATCTAGACTCATTTCTGGACTAATACAGGATTTCCTAATTCAATACCATGACAGAAGGTCATATGTTCCCTGATTGACTGATTCCCAAAGCAAGAATTCATTACTTAATAAGCAGCCTCATCCATTTTCTATAAACCTCAAATTGATTCAATAAAGCAAGGGTTTCTGTTTCTTAGGGATTAGGTTAGATTTGTGTTCATAGGTTAAGTTAAAAATATATATTCTTCCCTCTCCGTTTATACTGATTTCGGACTTCTCAAAAAATAATGACATTAACTGATCCTTCAACATGTATTGATGTCATATTTTACTAAGTTGATAAATTGAAACCATCAAGTTCTTTTCCTTTATTTAGTATTGATTTAACTCTTCGCTGTCAACATGAAGTCTCTAATAGCCTAAAGACATACAACCTTTTAACACTCAATTAGATGTAAGAACATAAAAGGAAAATAAGCAACAAGAAAAGTATAATAGAAAGTAGTCAATATCATAAAGCTGAAAATGGAAATGCAAAGTGTAACTGAAAGAAAGGGAAGGAGGAAACATATGTTGTACTGTTATTTATAAAGGTAAGAAAATACTCATTAACTAAAAGAGAAAAAGAATGCAATATTATTTTTGAAGTACCTAATTAGTGTCAGGAGCTGCACTGTAGAAGGTCTTTTATATCTATTAGGCCATATATCTTAAAGTTACAGAGTTCAAATTTGAACTCAGTCTTTCTTAACCCTAAAACCATATTTCCTTAAAGAATTCTGTAGGGAATGAGGTGCCTGGGTGGCTCAGTGGGTTAAAGCTTCTGCCTTCGGCTCAGGTCATGGTCCCAGGGTCCTGGGATCGAGCCCTGCATGGGGCTCTTTGCTCAACGGGGAGCCTGCTTCCTCCTCTCTCTCTGCCTGCCTCTCTGCCTACTTGTGCTCTCTTGTCTGTCAAATAAATAAATAAAATCTTTAAAAAAAAAAAAGAATTCTGCAGGGAAGAAATAATTAAAAGGAAATATATTTTTGAATAGCAATTTTAGATATTAATCAACTATCATAAACACAATGTCTACATACTACTTAGTTTATTTAAACCTCCAACATATCACCACTGTTCAGTGAGAAAAAGAGTAAAGATTTACAAACTGCCAAGAAGCTACATTTTCAGTTTCTAAGTAAAGGCTTTGGTTAGTAGACCAAAGTTGTTCTATTGCTGTTTTTAATAAATATGTTTCTTTGTTCCAAAGTATAAAAATTATACATATGTGTTATATTTTCTTACATAACATATTATGCAAGAAGCCCATGATTTCAGGGAAAGGGTTCTTTTTGGTTTATTTTGCTCACCATTTTTCTCTTCTCTTTCTATAGGCATGTTCATATTTCACATCTCATGCTGTGCCATTGAAGATTACTTTCATCAATGCTAACCCAATGGGCAAAAACATCAGCGTCATTTTTAAGGTACAAAAACATCAGATTGATTTCACAGGGAGAATTATTGATTTATTTCTTGCAAAAAGAAATTATTATAGTTACTTTCCTCTGATGACAGCATAGAGGATTCCAGTTATTTTTGATTCTGCATTTTTACAGAATTATAGAACATGTCAATGATTAACAATAAATCAATCATTACTGGCTCAAGCTAGTGAACCTGCAGTGCAAAACTTGAGAAGATATGTTTCAGTAAGTGAAATTATACACTTTTGAGTGGCACAGGAAGTGGAATGTGTGGGGAACCCCTAGTGAGAGAGTTTTCTTTGATTTAGATACTAAATTAGAATCAATATTAGGTAAAATTCAAATGATATGTTAATGTAACATAAAATTCTATTCTGCAGGTACTTGCTTATTTTAGTAATTTGGATTATTTTCTTCTTTTCAAATAAACAGAGGCCAAATCAGTCTTTATCATGAATTCCATAGGAAAGTAGAGTAAAAGGTAGTAAAAGAGTTTGGGGCAAGTTGGAAAGAGGGATCAATTAAGAAGCTATGAGTGAAAAGGAAGACTTTGGAGCCATTCGGTTAATTTAATCAAGTGTTCAGCCAAACCAGACAACTAGGTCTCAGAGTAAATTATTTGGTGGATTTTGACTATTTTTGAGGATAATTTTTAGCACACCCATACTTTGGCTTTGACTTGTGTAACTTCAGGCATTGATGGTCGTGAAACACTGCATTTTGGGTGAAGAAAAAAATACCACAAAATTGCATCTCGGAATATTTTTTTTGCATATAATTTAGAAAGCATTTTCAAAACCAAACCTCTTAGTTTAAAAGCAGAAAACTATCCTTCCCCTTTGGACATGTTCCATTTCCTTTACCTATGCATGAAAAATTGCTCCTTAATCATTTATTATGATCAAAGACTATTTATTGTGAACACTTTTAACCACCTTCATAATATGAGAATTCAATGATTTAAAGTCTGATGAATCCTATGTGTGCCGTTTATACTCCTCATCAAGAAGCTCTTGGTATTCCAACTCTATAACAGTATGTACATTTATGGCATACCAAATAATGTTTTAGTTAGAAAGAAATCTCTCTTGGCTGAGAGATTTGAATAAACATTCATCAAGCCTCTCTTCACTAGATTTTGAATCTAAGACATCACACGTGGATGATAAATTGAAAGATTATTATCAGCGAACAACTTTCCAAGCAACTTCTAGTTTGATGGCTGAAGCTTCTGTAATCATTTAAAGGAAAGTTCTTATTTTCTTTGATCCTCTCTCAGAAACACAAGGTGTTCTTAATACTAACAAAACAACTGTAACCATCTTAACTTGGGCTGGAAATGTATCTGAGGAAAGAAATGATATATATCATATTTGAAGGCCTTTAATGGAACTCAAAGAGAAATCCAGAGTCTCTAATTTTGTTTTTAACAGGCTGGAGATGATCTTCGTCAGGATATGCTTGTTCTGCAGATTATTCAAGTGATAGACAATATTTGGCTGCGGGAAGGCCTGGATATGCAAATGATCATTTATAGATGCCTATCCACAGGGAAAGGTCAAGGTCAGTATAGATTAGAAAGTGATCTGACTTACATTATTTATCTTAAACATTCACTGGTAACATGACACCAAACTTTCCACAGCCTTCATTTTAGACTATAAATTTTAAAGTCAAAAGAACCATACAACGTCATTCTTTTTTCTTAAAAATAATTATTTTCAAAAGTGGGTAAGTCAAAGTAATTTAGGATGTCAAAGAATATATTGTCTTTTTTGATATTAATCAGGATTTTGACAATCCAAATGTTAACTGTGGTGTCCTTTTGTGTGTCTTTTGTATGTTTTTTCTTTTTTAAAAAAATAATAACAGAAGAGCTTATTCATTCAAAAAATTCATTCTGTTGCCTATTAACACAAAATTTACAAAGTTGCAAATGCTTGAATGAGTTCTGAACTATCTAAATACATTATAAATCTGCATTTAATTTCTAAAAGACTTTTTTTTTTTAAGTTTTTTTATTATTTATTTGACAGACAGATCACAAGTAGGCAGAGAGGCAGGCAGAGAGAGAGAGGAGGAAGCAGGCTCCCCACTGAGCAGAGAGACTTATGCCAGCTCGATCCCAGGACCCTGGGATCATGACCTGAGCCGAAGGCAGAGGCTTTAACCCACTGAGCCACCCAGGTGCCCCTCTAAAAGACTTATAAATAAATCATAATTTCAGTAGTCAAAGATGACCAAACATGCAAATTTTGAACATACTTATTTTCCTTTATAAAAGCCAAGATATTAATATGGAATTATAATTACATTTAATACACATTTTCAATGAAAGTACCATCAATGGGCCACCCAAATTACTACCATCACAAGTAAAATTTGCACTTAATTACAATCACGCTAAATTGAAGAAATAATTCCCAAGATACCTTATAATCTTCTTTGAATGTGGTCACTGCCACTTAGAATTTCATTCAACTACTTGGTGGGATAGCAAATACAACTGCATAAACAAAAGGATAAAAAATCATAGAACTAGGGGCACCTGGGTGGCTCAGTCATTAAGCATCTGCCTTCGGCTCAGGTCATGATCCTGGGGTCCTGGGATCAAGCCCCGCATCAGACTCCCTGCTCAGCGGGAGGCTTGCTTCTCTCTCTCCCACTCCCCCTGCTTGTGTTCCCTCTCTTTCTGTGTCTTTCTCTGTCACATATATAAATAAAATCTTAAAAAAGAAAAAAACGGTAGAACTAGGGAACGGACCTAGAACCATGTAGTTGTTGTGGTGGTGGTGCTTGTTGTTATTCAGGCAGAACTACAATTTAACTCTAACAGAAAAACTATCACTGTCCGCCCCCAAGTACCTGAGGTCCCACCACAAAGCTCAGCACCCCAGCCAAATGTTTGGAAGCACCTCCATGTTGGCTTAACTTGCAACCTAATACTTCCGGCTGACTCTGTAACAAGTCATGCTACCCAATTATTTTGATTTTGATAATAGAGCTCTTGCTTTCATGACAAGTATCCACCCCTGAACCCTTTCCAAAGCTCTAGTTCCTAAGAGTATCACTGATACTGTGAGATTGCTATTCCTTGCATTTACTCTCCTTTTTCTTACATAAAGTGACCTAATTCTTTCAAATCCTAATGTATTGAAAGAGTAAGAATAAAGCTAGATGAGCCAAACTGAACTTTTTGATGTCACATAGATTACCTTTTCTTCAGAAATTGAATATATCACGGACCTCAGTGAAATTCTTCAATTGCATGTACTCATTTCCAGTTTAAAATTATAGAATTTAGCAGAGTCTAAATCTTTAATAAAGTTAATAAAATGACCTGCAAAATGAATGTAGACTTGCCCAAAGTTGCCGATGTCAAAAAACAAGCTATTAATCCCTCGTATCTACCGATAATCATCTATAGTTGTTAGGATTTGAAAGGGCATTATACTGGCAAAATACTTTTTCAAGAAAAATAGGATCATTAAAGCAAACATCATGTTTAGGAGATCAGATTCCATTTTTAATATGCTTCCAAGACTTACTGAATATCTGTTTTTTTCAAGAAATCTCGCAGGGTGCCTGAGTGGCTCAGTTGGTTGAGTGACTGCCTTCAGCTCAGGTCATGATCCCAGAGTTCTGGGATCGAGTTCTGCATCAAGCTCCCTGCTCAGTGGGGAGTCTGCTTCTTCCTCTGACCTTCCCCCTCTCATGCTCTCTCTCTCAATTTTCTCTCTTTCTCAAATAAATAAATTAATTAAATCTTAAAAAAGATATATATGTATATAACAAAGTAAAATTAGAAATACTAAAATGAGCTATACAGAGTTGCTGCCCATAAAGGACAGTACATTCGAGGCCAGAAGTTTTCACGGCTTTATCAACATTATTGTTGATTATAATTCTCATGGCTACTTTGTATATGATGTCCTAGGAGCTTTGGGGGAGACTGTCAGGGCAAATAAAATTTCTTTAAGATTTATTTTATTACTGGCTCTCCAAATTTGATGGGCCTTAAAATTACATAGGGAAATCCAAAGCCTAGGCCCCAACCAGGTACTAAATCAGGTTTTCTACTTAGGCATTGAAGAGCGGAGGGAGTTCTCAAGTCTCTGGGACCATAAAAAGCTGCTCCAGTGTTTCTTATGCACCATTTTGAGAGCCACTGCCTTATGTGATACCACCTTAAAAAGTTTTGTCCCTAAGAACCCTGCTATTTAAAATGTGACCCATGGTCCAGCAGTGTTGACATCACCTGGGAGCTTGTTATAAATGCAGAATCTCAGGCCTTACCCCCACCCTAAAGAATTAGAACCTGCATTTTAACAAGGTCCCCAAGTGATACATATATGCACTAAAATTGGAGTAACTTTGCATTGGAGGACTACAAGAAAAGAACTACACATATTACTCAATGCACACAGAATTGTTATAAGTATTTAAAAGGTGTGTCATACATACTAGTTTAAAAGGTATAAAATATAATTTATGATTTTAATTGATACACAGAATTTAGCCACCATGATTATTATAAATTAGGTACAAGGTTTTCAGAGTAGTCAGCAATGTAAGTGTTATGATAAATGGCTTGGGATTTAGCAAAGATTAGTTCCCTAAAGACAAATGTGATCTTAAAAGTAACTGACATTGCTAGAGCACAGTATCTAAATGGTGCTAATAATGTAAATCTTAATTTTGGTCACGGTCAGATGTGAGGCAGTGAAGCACGAAGGAGCCAGATAGGAGGTGATTTCCCTTTGCAAGTATTAAGTGGAGGAACTAGAAGAATGAGGAGGGAAATGTTCAGGATTAGGAAGAAAGAATCACCTCTTTCTAAAGCAATAACATTACTACTACATGTAAATGCTTTACATTTGCTATCTCAGTTAATACACATGAGAAAATCTGCACAAGAGCCAAATACTGTTGGCTATAATATTAAGAATACGCCCAAGATTTACTTCTGGAGTGTTAAGTTAGTTAGTCCCTTCCTTCCTTCTTCCCTTCCTTCCTTCCTTCCTTCCTCTCTTTCTTTCCTTCTCTCTCTCTACAAGTTATTTCTGCAACCATTCCGTATTCTATTCCCATTCCCCTTGTCCCCATGTTTCCGATCCAGCAACGTAGAGGCCTAAAGGTCACAACTGGGCTATTAACTATTAAGCGAGATTAAGGCTGCAACCAGTTACTACTGGCCAAATCCAGTACAGAGAAATGTATCATTTACCAAGACAATTTGTTTGCTCATTGTTTAATTCAAATGTTTTTAAGATAGATCATGAAAACAGTTTTAAAAATTCAACCATGTCTCTTTTCATATAGTTACATTTGGGTCTTTGGTCCCTTAGGACATTTGAGTTTTCAGCTCTTGCATTGCCAAAATTGTGGAAATCAGGAATTCTAAACTTTTATGTCTTTCAATGATTTTATTTATAGAACTGTATATTACAGGTTGTTTTGTGCACATTATTCCTGGGACAGTTTTAAATATGGGTCTAAATTGCTCTTCTGTGCAGAATAAAATCAGAAGATCTGAAAATATTTGCATTATAATAACCTAGGAACACAATGAAAGAAAGGAACGCAGTCCTTGATGGATACATGGTCAGTGGGGCAAGGGTTCTACTGAACCTCAATCAACATATGCTTCTCCTTTAAAAAATTATTACCATAGTTTCTCTTTAATGTTGACTGGAAAGGAAGGAGCAGGTGGCTCTCCACGTTTACTGCCGTTATTCTGTTCACTCCTAGGAAAGGGACATTTAAGGGTGAAGATTTTATTAACCTGAATATTAATTTTTATAATATATTTGACATATTTGTTATAGAGATTGTAGTTGGTTCTCTTTCATCATAATTATGCTTGTTATACAAATTTGAATGTCCTCCTTTAAACTGCAAATGAATGCACAAGTTATATGTTAATTAACCCACTACCTCATTGACTCAGTGGGAACTCTTTGAGACCATTTAGACTGGCTCTCTACTGTAGTTCAAGAAAAAACAGTAAAGATTCTTCTGAAAGATCTGATCCAAACACTACAAGCAACCTCATTGCTCCCCAGGATTCAGAAAAATTAGAAAGAAGGTCATCTAGATAAGGCTCCTTCAGAAAAGAAGTTTTGCCAAGAAAAGGGTAACTCACATTAGTGCGATTATTGTTGCTGCATAGATCAAGATGTGTTTCCTAAGTATTCCTCATCCTGGGAAGTCAGAATACTTCTATAATCTCTTTTTTAATCCACCAGGATTGGTGCAGATGGTACCCGATGCCATAACCCTAGCAAAGATTCATCGCCATGCTGGGCTGATTGGACCTTTGAAGGAAAACACAATCAAGAAGTGGTTCAGCCAGCACAACCATTTAAAGGAAGATTATGAAAAGGTTTGTCCTGCTGTAGTTAATTTTAAATAAGGTGATAAATCAGAATATGCTCTGGATCATTAGCTATTGTAGTTGATGAAAAAGTAAATTAAGTACACCTTGAGTGTACTCAGTCATTAGCTTAGTAATGATAACCCAGTTTAAATGGTATATTAACTAGATAAAATTTCTGTATTTGGTTTTACTTCTTACAGCTATCTCTGCTGAGATGATGCTCCTTGAAATCACTCTTTCAAGTTACCTCTGCATACCTGTACACAATCTCCTATTTCTATAAATCCTCCTCCTTCCTTTGCAATGCATTTCTTCTGCTGAGCTCTACCTTTTTAAGCCTTCTTCTTTCAATGTTTGCAGAAGGCATAGTAGTTTTTTTATTTTTTAATATCTCAGAACTTTACAAAATGTAGTGTTTTATTTAACTGCAAACATTTTTCCCACTTAACTTCATGCTGGCATCTGGCCTGCAGTGTACAGTTGTGCAGGTTCTGCCCTATACCAGAGCTCCCAGCTAATGGGATGAGTCGGTTAAAGCCAGGCTTTGTTCCACTTGCCAGGGCATGAACTGGTACAACAGGATGTACCCAGAGGCAAAGGCACCTTTATACTAATTCACACAAAAATAGAATATGGTCGAACATTGGATTTGTTTGGAATTGTCCAGAGCACTGAAATTCCTTCATCCTAGGAAATGCCTCAGTCCTGAGCAAACTGGGATGATTGGTCACCCTACTTAGCACAGGCCATGATAGAGAGACCCAAGAGTTCATCTATTCCAGGCTTCTGTGAGATTGGAGTAGAACAAATTACAGGCCTTTGGATGTCAAATAACAAAGATAAGATGACATTATCTTGAAATCTATTTTTTTGCCATTCCCACAATTATAACTTGAGTTTTGAACAAATCTCTGGGATTATATTAGAGATGTTTTCACACAGATTTGCCCTTCACAGCTACCATGTAAGGGCATCTTTTATTATCTTCATTTTATAAGTGAAAAGTATCTAGATAGACAAATTAAATGACTTGTTCAGGATCTTGGGATATCCAGAACTAAGACATGAACTAGGTTCAGTGACACGGATTTCCACTCTAGCATGTCAGCCACACCATTCTAGGAGACCGATTACCATGGCCCAATCAATCACTCATGGTTACACCTTGGTTACAAAGTTGCATCATTGATGAAAATGATGTATACCCAGGAGACCATTTTGAAAATAAAGAGTAGTTTTGGCAAGAAACCTCTGTTTCTTGAAGAAACAGAAGCCACAATTGACTCAGTGGTTATCTACTTCCACCCACGAAGACATTCACTGATATAGACCATACCAAACCATTTTTGGACAACAAGTGGATGACCTATGTGTAAGGATGTACATAATATATTACACAAATCTCAATATGGCTTTATCTGTGTTAAAAATTCAAATATTCAAAATTGATATTTTAAATTTCTCTGGGGATAGGCAATATTGAGCCATATTGTTTCTTCTTTTACCTTGAAAAAAATCATTCAATATTGTATATTTGAGACATCAAAAAAACCCACACCAGGAATCCTCTTCAATAAACTATGAAAATTAGAACCAACTGAGTAAAAGGGGTATTTTGTACAATTTCAAGGGAAACATTCATTAGGCCAAAGAAGAATTTGCTTCATGTTCTTCTGTAGCATATCCAGAACTAGTCATTTAATCATAATCTTCTCTCAACTGAGATGTAGAAGTAGTTCTCAATTATGTAATTTTGCTTTTTATGATAGTTTTTACTATTAACTCTGATGCTAACACATTTGCTCATTTTGTGTGTGTATTATCTTTGTGTTATTGTTTTTCAACTGATTAGGCCTTGAGGAACTTTTTCTATTCCTGTGCTGGCTGGTGTGTGGTAACGTTCATCCTGGGAGTCTGTGACCGGCATAACGACAATATCATGCTGACAAAGTCAGGCCACATGTTTCATATTGACTTTGGAAAATTCCTAGGTCATGCACAAACATTTGGAGGGATAAAAAGGTCAGTGTGCAAATAATGTTTTTTTTTTTTTTTAAAGATTTTATTTATTCGACAGCAGAGATCACAAGTAGGCAGAGAGGCAGGCAGAGAGAGAGGAGGAAGCAGGCTCCCTGCCGAGCAGAGAGCCCGATGCGGGGCTCGATCCCAGGACCCTGAGATCATGACCTGAGCCGAAGGCAGAGGCTTTAACCCACTGAGCCACCCAGGCGCCCCGCAAATAATGTTTTTTAGAGTAATTAAGTAATGTCCTAGAGTGATGTATGCCTTTGCATGTAATGGCAAAGGAATCCAGCAAATGACTGACTGCCCATCTCTCACATCCCCCCAAATGACACAAACATGTTTATATATCTAATAAGATTAAAGGAAATATTTTTTCCATAGATTGTTAATGGAATAAATTAGGTTTCCTCAAATTGTTAGTGAACTTCTCCCATGAGACACTAATCCTATTCTAGGCTGAATTGTCTGAAATATAATATTTTCATTTTTTATAAACCTTGAATGGACAATGAGGCATGAATTCATGGTCTCAATACATCTGGTATATTGCCCATAGCAATCACCACCCCTGGTCTACATATCATAAAACTAGCACATTTCCTACACTGAGATCGCATTGAAGAATTCCAAAAATACCTAGTGAGTAACTACCATTCAAGGCTCTGTGGCTATAACCGTAAACAAGGCAGACACAAACCCTGATCTCTTTCTAGTAGAGATGACACACATTAAACAAGTTAACATGCAAAGAAATGATACGAGGAAAAGAGGAGTTTAATTTGTTAATAAGAAACTAAAGCAAAGAAATGGAATAGAGAGTTACTGGAGCAGGGATCCTATTTTAAAGAGGCCTCTAGGAAGAGATGGGACACAACTGTATAATTAATGATTCACCTTGTGGAAATCTGTGAGGATAGTATTCTAGGAAGAGAGAGCACCAAAAATAGCAGGGTTCGGGGCAAGCTGTTGATGGATTTCAAAACTCTTTCCTGCTGTCTTGTGAAGTAATGAGACAAGATAGGAGTCTACTACAATGATTACGGCAAGACCTTAATGGAAAGGAAGTGGTAAAAACTGACAGATTGAGAATTTATTTTGGAGTCAGAGTCATAGGACCTGCTAATCACTTGGACACTTGGCATGATTAATGGGCTGGGGGAGGGGCTTAGCAGGTAGGAGAAGAAAGGAAAACACTCAAGGATGACTCCTGGATTTTTAGTCTTAATAAATAATTTTATCATTTACTGAACCCAAAAAGAACTGATGGATGAGTAATTTTTTGTTTTCTTTTATTTGTACTGGGGCAAGGAAACCCAAAGTTTAAGACTAAAAGTCCCTTGCTTTAAAAAGATACTTCACCTGAAAGTAGAAATGGAATCAAACCATTCTAAAGTGTAATCAGTCACTTTTAGCTAAAAGCAGCTCCCCCATAGAAGAAATAATGTCTTCTACAAGATAGCACGATGAACTTTCATTAGATGGCCATTATCCAGTATTAAAATGTCAGCATAAACTACATAATATGATTTTTCCTATTTTGTAGAGACATACAAATGGAATCACTTCACTTGTTATTCTTCCCAATACACTGCCTTCCAAACTGACTACATTGGGAAAATTCACCACATCTGCATTCATTCCTTAAAAATCTACTCAGGATTGTCTGTGTGCTGAGGACTGTAATAACCTTGGGGACACAAAGTGTAATAGTCCACATTTACCACCTCAATGGGTTTTGCTCTTAGAATACTAGAAGACAAAAACATGAATAATCACTGTAAAATGTAGAGAGGGCAGACAGAGAGTTGTACGGACTTTTAGAACATCCATAGAGGCAGGATACCTAGTTTATGAAAGATAAATGTTAACTAACGTACATGAACATAGACATAATTTACTTATGTAACATGTTTTCTCTAAAATCCACCCTTTCCCAGAAATTTAAAGATTAGATTACAATTTTGACATCTTTGTTTTTTTTGCTGTATGGTCCACTGAAAATGTGGGTTAACCCTTATTTATTTAACTAGCAATAGTGTTGACCATAGTGGTGGTTAAAATATATATATATAAATATTTCATTCCTACAGAAAAAGTTAAGGGAGACATATAAAGTAAAGAACAAGTTACTGGGGCGCCTGAGTGGCTTAGTGGGTTAAAGCCTTTGCCTTCGGCTTGGGTCATGATCTCGGGGTCCTGGGATGGAGCCCCACATCGGGCTTTCTGCTCAGCAGGGAGGGTGGTTACCCATCCCCCACCACCTGCCTCTCTGCCTACTTGTGATCTCTGTCAAATAAATAAAATCTTAAAAAAAAAACAACAAAAAACAAGTTACTGAACAATATGGTAAGTGCTGTAATAGAGATATGTCCCAGGGTGTATAGAAAAGGTAGAGCCAAATTTGTTTGTTTATTAATATTACAACAGCTGCTGCTGCTTCTACATTTGGCAGGTTTTTTGACATATAATATTATATTAGTTTCAGATGCACAGCATAGTGAGTCAGCAATTCTATATATTACAAAATATTCACCACAAATGTCACCATCTGTCACCCCACAGTTATCACAGTGTTATCATATAATAGGGACATATATATATATATATATTCCCTATGCTGTACATTTTATCCTTCTGACTTATTTATTTTATAACTGGAAGCTTGTACCTATAAATCCCTTTCATCTATTTTGCTATCTCCTACTGCCCTCACTTCTGGCAACTACCAGTTCTGGGTATTTATGAATTTGTCTCTGTTTTTGTTTGTTTGTTTGTTTTGTTTTGTTTTGTTTTTCAGATTCCACTTACATAAGTGAAATCATATGATATTTGTCTTTCTCTGTCTGATTTATTTCACCTAGCATGATACCTTATGGATCCATTCATGTTGTCATGATAGCAAGACTTCTTTCTTTTTTATGGCTGAGTAATATTCCATTGTGTATATATATGCCACATCTTTATCCATTCATCTATTGATGAACATAAACATAGGGGTGCATATATTTTTTCAAATTAATCTTTTCATTTTCTTCATGTAAATACTCAGAAGTGGAATTACTGGATTGTATGGTACTTCTGTTTTTAGCTTTTTGAGGAACCCTCATGCTGCTTTCCATAGTGACTGGACCAATTTACATTCCCACCAACTGCACAAGAGTTTTGTTTTCTCCATATCCTCACCAACATTTGTTATTTCTTGCTTTTTGGTATGAGTTTTTCTAACAACTGTAAGGTGATATCTCATTGTAGTTTTGATTTGCATTTCCCTGATCATCTGTGATATGCAGCATCTTTATATATATCTATTGGCTGTTTGTATGTGTTATTTGGAAAAACGTCTATTTAGGTCCTCTTATGGCAATTTTAAATCTCTTTTTGTGCAATGTCTGAGGTGCATGAAAATGTACCCAGCACAGATCCTCACTGTTAGTAGGTTCTTAATATTGCTTTTCAGGTAATAAACCATTCATAGGGAAGCCTTCAATCATTCAATAATTATTGATTGGATGAACAAAAATGAAGTTAACACTGTCTTCCTTTGAGATTATTGATTATTGTTCACCAGTTAAGGGGCCAGCTGCAGCACAATGATCCATTTGGATTATTATTTGCAAGATTTTATCTCCACCAGTGGCTATCTAAGACTCATTAGCAATGTCCCTTTGGATTTCTCTCTTGAAACTGTTACTTCTGAATTTGTATTCTAACAATTTTCTTCCAAGTCTCTTTTGGCTGTGTCAAGAGTTCATTTGAATGCTGTTTCATAAGATAGGTGACTACTTCTGTCCTAGGACCGGTGGTTGTTGTTAATGGTTGCTAGGTTGACAGTAGGCTTCTTATAAATCAAACTTCTGTATCCCCCATGACACATGAACATTCTTATTTTTACTACCTTTTTTACATTACAGACCTGATCTTTATCTGTTTCTTTAAAGATTTTAATTTTTTATTTGATCGGGAGAGACACAGCACAAGCATGGGGAATGGGAGAGGGAGAAGCAGGCTTCCGGCCGAGCAGCGAGCTAGATGTGGGGCTCGATCCAAGGATCCCAAGGTCATGACCTGAGTTGAAGTTAGATGCTTAATGACTGAGCCACTCAGGCTCCCCAGACCTGATCTTTAGAGAAATGTCTAGCTTCACCTAACTTCTTTTAAACACCCACTAGACTTATTAATAACCTGCCCATAATGTACAAAGCCAGGCATGTAAATCATGCCCTAGAACTATCCTACTCTCTAACAGTCTAGCAAGGCCATATAATGCTCTAGTAATAACCAATAATATCCAGGATCATACTCCTTAACATAATTACATGTATCCCAGAAAGTATATGTATCCCAGACGCATGTGTTTCTACTACTATCTACTCCTTAAACACATGGAGGAGGAAAGTATTTGTATAACTTTTTAGGTTTACAAAGGCTTACTAACACATATCAAGTAATTTCACTTCATAATCCACTTGCCTTGATCATTGCTCAACTGCACACAAAGAGTCATAGTTTAAAGTTGGGGGTGGTTTATGGGTTGGCAAAAAAGAAATCACGTACACACATAAGACCGTCTCTAATGTAGATACAGCCTTCAGCCAAGGTTACAGAATTTAATAATGGAAATTAGCAGACCAACAGAGCAGAACCAGTTGTAGTATATCTGGGGATAGATTTTCCTTTGATCTTTGGTTTCTTTAAAAGGAAGAATAATGAGGTGATGTTTTCCTTACAAGCAGGATCTTGAGAAAGAAACTGATTTCTTGCAGGGCCATTGCCCTTTAATATTCATGCTTACATCACCATTCCGGAACATCTCACACTGAAACATTTATGTGATTCTGTTTAGAAAATGTTCATAGACATTGGCTCTCCTGATTCTTGGATTATATCGAGTTAGCCCAGCAACACTTTCATTTGGAATTCTTGCCCAGATGTCCCTGAACCATTCTCCTGAATTCATTTTACCAGAAATCTGGAAAGCCCATGCTTAGACCAAATTG